TTGTGATGGAGACGGTCTGAATCAGATCTGCAGATATCAACCCCTAGATATTTTACATGACGTTTAACTATAATACCATCAACAGAATTTTTATTGGAATCATGTACATATAAAATTTCACTTTTTTGAGGATTTACTACTAATCCTGAAGCTTTGGAGAAAATAATAAATTCATTGAAGGCAACAGAAACTTGTGAATCATTTTTAAGAAAAAGACAAGCATCGTCAGCTAACTGGCTAATTATCAATGTATTCCCTCCAATATTTATACCTTCAATATTGGAGTGCTTTATATGCAAACTTAATAGCTCGGCGGCTATTAGAAAAAGAAAAGGAGAGATGGGGCATCCCTGCCGAATACCTCGAGCCACAGAAAACCGGGGAGAAGTGCCGGAAGCTAAGGAAACACAACTGTTAATACCGTTATATAAAGTACGAATCGCGTTAATAAAGGCTCTACCAAAACCAATGACAAATGAGACCTTGTTTCATTGATTCCGCCAATTCACCATTGTTTAAACACTCAATAAGGGCTTCGTAAAGAAGATACTTAATAGAGTCCCAAAAGACTTTTAAAAATTCAAACGGTCAGCCATCTGGCCCTGGAGAGCTATTGTGTGGCTTTCTTTTTACTATGTTATAAAGAGCATCTATAGGAAAGGGTTCTCTATTGTGGGCATTCATTTTAGGAATCACAGAATGAACTTTATGAAAAAATAAAGATGAAGCATTAAGATCAAAAGAAGAGGTGTATAGATTTTGATCAAAGTTAGAAACATGAGAAGAGATCATGGAGGGGTCATTAGATAATGTATTATTAATATATAGAGAGGAGATCCTCTTATTACTTCCAGGTTTTTTCTCTAGGTTGAAAAAGTAAGCAGAGTTTCTTTCCCCAAACTCGAGCCATTTTGCTCTCGATCTAATGAATGCGCCCCTTGCTTTCTCTAAAAATAAATCATCCAGCACCTAAGAGAAGTTGCGGACGCGTCGAGTATTTGTCCAAATACCCACACTTGCAGTCTTTGCACGTGACCACTTGATTACTTAAATGACGTATTTCCTGTATTTGGCCGAAGTCTTCAGGTGGGTGTGAAGACCAGAAGTGTGTGTCGAACTCTTCATTACCTGATGGGACACACTTGTAGTGTTTAAAATCAACTTCTAAAGTCTGTTCAGTAGTCCCTATAACATGACATCATTTTAATTTGTGGTGCTTCTAATTAAATGATAAAAAACAGTTGCAAATGTTGTACAAAATAAATATCACCACAACTCATCTTTGCACCAATAAAAGTAAAAACACTGTTTTTCTACCAAAACGCGCTCTCGAGTGGCCAAGACCGCAAGTGTGGGTATTTGGACAAGGGGTAAATCAGTGTGTGTGTGTGTGTGTGTGTGTGTGTGTGTGTGAGGTACAGAAGACAGCGCGTTAGTTTAGAACTCTTCTCATTTTTTTTTTTTTTGTAGAGAGTGTGATAATTTGGTC